ACAGAACGCAGTCTCGAGTTTTGCCGCTATTGCTTCTTTTGATTGAGCTGTTATTTTAGGCAAAATTATTCCTATTTATTAACACTGCACACAGGTGCACCTGAATACATTTACACACACGTTAATGAAAAAAAGTATAAGGCTAAAAATGCGAGCAAGGCAAAATGGCAATAATGACGTAGTGATATATTAACATAAAAGTAGTTGATCAACAAGAACCAGCCCAAAAACACCAAAAAGAACGCAAAACAAACAAAGGAATATTAGAAAATTTATCTAAGACATTTAATGTTGCTATCACTATTACAGCTACTGTGTAATTGCATTCTTTTTTCTGATATCATCTTTAAACACTGAACTGGTAATGCTCCCCAAGGTCACCGCGCGCTTCCGAGATTGACATGACGACTGTCATATTTGTCCCTTGTTTTATAGTGGATTACTCTGGTGTGAATGTGCTGATATCAGCACCAAATAAAGGTCAGTAAGTTTTGAAAGACGAATGTTTATTGACGCTCTGGGTGGTAAAGATGGGTGGATCGTACATTTGCGTACACTTCGGTAAGATAGTACAGATTTTATTTGTGTATGTGTTATCTGAATCGGGCGTTCAATGGTTATAAAGGGCAGACTCAAAAAAGCGTTCAAGGTGTAACTTCGGCTAGGGTTTATTTCTGTCCGTTTTGCATATTCCTGCACTTTTTAATGATGCCCTTGTGGTACATTAGTGCATTGAGAGGACCTATTTTATTCCCTTTACTTTCGGGAAAGTGATGTTTGGCAATATGTTCTGGTCCTCAGGAAGTGATTGAACTTGCCGGGCTCAAAAATTTTGCGACTGGTCTACCACGTGTCTTCAAAATACCCCAGGATGAATGCACCGTCAGCAAGAAGTGGTGTCGGCGTCGTTTTTCCGGTGAGCATTTACTAGATGTTGCCTGCTCTCCGGAACTAAAACTTCGTTCCTCCTAGTTGAGTGTTTATTATTTTGCAGTCTTGGCCCTCGTTCTCAGCAAAGCTGTTCCTACATGAAGTTGCTTCCACGCTCCTTGTCTTAGCTGCTTGATTGTCGTATCATATAGATGTGACGCATATCCTAGGAACTTGTAACTGGGGTCAAATCAACTCATGGATTGCGTAGATTGTTTATATTCGAAGGGTGAAATCGATAATCATATTTTCCAGTTTTTGAGTAGGAATCGAGAAGACTTAAGCAAATAACCTCAATTGGTGTTATCATTGTAAATGCAATGGCTGGGGTGCCGTGATCAAATGCTCTGTCAAATGTACCTTTGCTGTGAATGTATTAAACTGTTTCTACGGATGCCATATTGAGTGTAGCCTTTGACTTTTTTGGTAGGATTTCATTAGAACTCTGGTTCTTTTCTCTGAATGATTCGTTTACTTGACCTCACTACCACTGGTGACCCGTCGAATATGCTCAAACAGGTCGTTTTGAATTCATTTAATGGGAGGTGTTGAGTCCGACCCGCAATATTTGAACCTTCGGCTTCGCAACTGCTTGACTGGATGTTGTTTCGCTAGCCTAATTCGGAACCTCGGCATTCTAGTTGCTGTGCTTCGAAATCCCCTTGCGTGTCGTCCGCTGCGTCATTACAACAGGTTATTTTGCGTCACCTCATGAAGCGTGTCTTCAGTATTTCGTGCTTGAAGGTTACAATTCAAGCACCAATGGCGAGAGATTGTAGAGGCTTTAATGAAAGTGATGCCATTACTATCCATTGAAAGGTCTTCTGTGATTCATTCTTGAAATGAATTCTGAAATCTGACGGAGGAGTTGATAAATGCTCGATGTGTTTGCAACACATGAAAGCTGGTCTGCTGTTCTTGAGGCGGAAGTATGGTGATTGTAGACGTGCCATCGGAATAATTTTCTCAGGCCCCTTTTGGCTGTAGGCAGTCTTTTTTAATCCATCCTTTAAATTAGTGGCAGTGCCGCTGACAAGCTTCCGCTTCAGGTTTGTGCACAGATGTTCAGTTTGTTTTCCCATTCCCTAACCCACGCCCCAACCCCTTGGTCCTCGTATCAACTGATCTTATTATGGATCCTTGTGACGTCCAAATCGATACATGTGATGCATTTGCGGTGCACTAGTCATTAATTCTTCATGTCAGGCGAGGGTGAATGATTGCGAGGTGGCTACAAGGAGTGAAGAGAGTCTTCCAGAATCTGCCTTGGGACGCGATGCTGGTCTATTCCCGCCCCACAGCCAGTCATCTGCAAAGCTCATAGCTAGCAGAAATATCTTACTTTGATGACGTCTCTTGCGAAGCCTTGGAATCGGGCAAATAGTAAGTGTTACTTTTCTGTTGCTCTGTTTATGTGTTAAGTCATCCACCCCTTTATTTATTTACATACTTCTTGCTTATTTATTTCCCCAAATACTCACTTATACCTGTGCGTCTATTTGCCTCTGGG